GATTCTTATCTCCAATTAACCAGCAAAATACAGAATTGAGTTTGGGTCAAGTGGTAAAGCACTAGAGGAGCAAAAAATGCAAAGCAATAACATCCATGCCCTAAGTTCAGGCCTTAAAAACATTACTCCATTTACATAACTACTTAAAGACTATAAATAAAAAAGGAAAAGAAAAAACAGATATTTATTTCTAAAATCAGGGTTTTTAAAATAACATAGTAAACACAAACTTTTTTGCCAGTAATAAATATTATAATTTGTCATTTCACATGTACATAAGAATACAACTTGGTTGTAAATATTAAAAAAAAACACAAACATAAAATTATGGGTTATTATGAGAACACCACCAATAAAGAATATATTAGGTCTTTCTTTCTTTCCTTCTTTCTTTCTTTTCCTTCCTTCTTTCCTTCCTTCCTTCCTTTCTTTCTTTCTTTCCTTCTTTCTTTCCTTCTTTCTTTCTCTTTCTCTCTTTCTTTCTTTCATTCTTTCTTTCCTTCTGTCTTTCTTTCTTTCCTTCTTTCTGGAAGTATTGGAGTTTGAACTCAGGGTCTCAAACTTAGACTGTCTGTTTGGTTTCTTGTTCAGGACTGACACTCTACCACTTGAAACATGCCTAGATTTCTGAAGATTAACTGGAGATGAAGTCTTTTCAGATTCTTCTGCCCAGGCTGGTTTCAAACCTCAATCCACAAGATCTCAGTAGTTAACAATACAGGAGGATTCAGAAGTTAGTAATACAGCCTCCAGAGGTCAGCACATCATAGATTTGGGACCAAGGTAAATTTTTTTTTAACTTTGCTGTATTTGTCATCACTAATCTGTTATGTATTCATTTTTTCCCCTCATTGAATCCACTGCCATCTGTCAGTGAGCTTCTTCATGGAAAGGGACAAACAAAATGCCTTTCACTTACAGACATTGAATCAACCTTTATTTAGGGAATAAATGAACAATAAAATAGCTCTTGAATCTGAATTGCCATGAATTCCATTTTGAATAGTGCCCTGTCTATAATTGCTTCTGACTACAATAATGTTGAGTGTAATTAATTCACTTGCTAAACACTGTTGATGTGTAGAGGTGCCAGAATAATAAAGAGGTGAAGAGTCATCTAGATTCATTCAAACAATTCCTTTTGAGTAGTAATTAATTTACCTCAATGCCTTCACATAAAAACTGAAAAAAATACACATCTTAGAAAATAGCATTAATGACATTAAGAGAATTCTTAAAGGACTAGAATGAAAGAATAGAAAGATTAATGGTACGATATATTAGAATCAATAGTTATTTGAAAACATTAATATATCTTGAAACATTAAAGCATTTGTGTTAATAAAAATTTATCAAAATTATCCCCAAATAGAGGAAAGGCACAAAGAATTGAGTGCTAAATTTCTAGCATTTCCTGAGAAAGAGCTAATTGGTTATATTGATAAATTGTGTATTTGTGGACTTATAGGCAAGATTAAGACAACACTAAAGGTCTAAAGAAAGAAACAAAGGAAGAATGAAGGAAAGAAGGAAGGAAGGAAAGAAGGAAAGACAAAATGAGCACAAGACATAAGCTAACATTTTAAGAAAGAAGAAATACTAGTGACTGACAAAAAATGTAGATAAGCAGATGTTCAACTAGAATACAAAAGTCAGGATCCCAATGACATATCACTACATACTAGAATGTTAAACTGAAGGTCGTGAGAAAACCAAGTGTTGACAGAGTGCTGAAGAAATTAGAACATTTGTACATTCTTTTTTAAAAAATTGATTTATTGTTATTATAGAGGTGATGTATAGAGGGATTAAAATTACATCAAGTTTGTAAAGTCACCCTCAATAAGTCTATTTTTAAAGAATTACACATGCTACAATATAATCCAGTAATTATAATCCAAACAGGGGAAAAAAACTCTACACCTATATCTATAGGACTCTGGGCTAGAAGAGCTCAAGACTTGATGTCCTTCAAATGATCAATATGGAAATGTGCGTCTATACCATGAAATACTATTCTTAAAATGAATGAACAATTGAGCAATGCAAGTCTTTGGAAAGAGTCTCTAGAGAATTATGCTAAACAAAAATGCCAATCAAATAAGATTAAAAGGTATAGAATTATATTAATCTAATGCTCTCAAAACATTAAAGTGATGGAGATAAAGAACAGATTAGTAGTTGTTAGAGGCTGGGTGCAGATAGCAGAGCAAGAGTGATACTAGTGTTGTAATAGTATTGTTACAGGGGAACTTGGGGTGTTGCAAACATTTGGCTATATTGGTATACACAGAAATATATACATGTGATAGATTCCATAAAACTGAGCACACATGCAAACACATGGATTTTACATGTAAAATGTCTTTGGAAAATGGACTGTATCAATATCAAATTTGAGGTTGAGATAATATACTTCAGTGTTTTTTTTTTGTTTGTTTGTTTTTTTACTCTGGGCCTGGGAGCTGTCCCTGTGCTCTTCAGCTCAAGGCTTAGCATTCTACCACTTGAGCCACAGAACCACTTCCAGGTTTCTGAGTGGTTTATTGGAGATAAGAGTCTCAAGGATGTTCCTGCCCAGTCTGACTTTGAACTGTGACCCTCAGATCTTAGCCTCCTGAGTAGTTAGGATTACAAGCATGAGCCACCAGCACCCAGCTAACATACTTCACTTTTGCAAGATATTAATACTTAATTAATTAAATATTAATTAATTAATTAACAGTGTCCCATGTATTTTAATTACAACTGTAAGAAAATCTGCAATTATCTTCAAAAAAATTAAATCATTAAAAACAAACATGTTGCATAGACAAATAGGAGAATAGATACCATCCCAAGTATAACAATAATCACCCTAGGGGCTGGGAAGGTGGCTCAGTGGTAGAGAGCTTGCCTTGCATGCCTGAGGCCCTGGGTTCGATTCCTCAGCACCACATAATCAAAAAGAAAAAAGCCAGAAGTGGCGCTGTGGCTCAAGTGGTAGAGTGCTAGCCTTGAGCTGAAGAGCTCAGGGTCAGCGCCCAGGCCCAGAGTTCAAGCCCCACGACCGAACCCCCCCCCAAAAAAAGAAAACAATAATCACCCTAAAAGGTATCTGACTAACCTAATTGAAAGACTAACATTGTTATTTTGGATTAAAAACAAAAAAAGGGTGGTTGTGTAACATATGAAACTCCGAAAAGATATTTTTTCTAGAGGACTATGGCAAGTTGAAAGAAATAGCTAGTAAACTGTATCAGCAATTATTCATCAACAAAATCTAGTTATCTATTTAGAATAATAGAGATAAAACATTCTTAGAGACAATAAACAGGATATTTTATCAGGATAAAAAAGTTACAAAAATTCTAAAACTTTCTTGTGTCTAATAACAGAAATAAATACACAGAGAAAATATCAACAAACTAAAAGAAAGAATATAAAAGTCAATTTTCATAATGAAATATTTAACAGCCATCTCAATATGTGACACAATGCACTGACAGAAATTTTATTAAGAAAAAAATATACTGGGTCAGAACCCCTAATAAACACACATGAACTGAACTATTGTGGACCACTGCATTAAAATTAATATATAGTGCAAAATAGAACATATGTGCAAATTATTCACATGCTGGGTCAAATCAAATCTCAGCAAATACCAAAGCATTGGAAACATCCAAAATGAAGTTTTATAGAAAACAATAATACAAGCAGTGATTAGAAAATCCTCAAATCTTTTGAAATCTTGCAGTACACTTTTAAATTGTCAGTGGCTCACAATTTAGGAACTTTCATTAAGCGAGTGAAAAGACATAAATATCAACTCTTGTGGATTTCCAACCCTGGCCAAGAAAGAGTAACCCCATCCTTTCAAGGTGCTCCTAAAGCAACTAAAATGCTTCTACCTAAAAGGGCTAGCAAGGGGGAGAGATATGACCGGTTGCTATGGGACCTAGGCATTGACTAACAGGATGCTGAGTCTTCTGGATTTCATTATTTCCTGTCACATATCCTTGGTAGGATGTTCCAGAAGTCTCCAGCCCCATACAAAAGGCCAATGGCAAAACAAGAAAAACTCCAAGCAAAGCCTGTCATCTGCTAGTTTAAGACTTGGAAATACAGCAATTAAATCAGAGTCTCTTTTAGCCATAATATTTGTCTCCTAATGTGGCCAAAACTCAACAGGATCAGTGCCCTTCCCTCTGGGCCCCTACCCCAGGCTTCAGCAAAGTGAACAGAACTGGTCTTCCACTTGCATGTCAGTTCTCATCCCAGCTTGCCCAGCAAAGCTAGAAACAGACAGTATTCAGGCCTTTGCAGAAAACTTTCTAGTCCCTGACATTTTTCTCTCAGAAAAGTATAAGAACAAATATCCAAATTAAGGAATTCAAAGAAACAGAAACAAGAAAGAAAAGCATATCTTTGATTTAATATTTAATGAAGTCCTTTAGAAAAAACAAAAATGAAACTTTAGGAAAACTAACTGATAGAGTAAAATATCTTTCAACCATAAGCATTCATTTTAAAATACCTTCAATCACAAGCATTCATTTATTTTAAAAGGTATTAATATCAGAATAACTTAAAGCTAAGCTACACAACACTGAGTCTGTAGCTTAAGGGTAAAGCAATTATTTAACTGCTGTGCACAGGCATAGAATTTCATCCCCCAGTATCACAAAATAATTAATAAAGTAGATAATAAGCTATGCAACTTCTTCACTATAATTAACACAAGGAGAAATCCAATGAAGTTGTATTTTGAGACATACTGAATCATGACAACAGTAAACAGAAAAGTCAAGAAGGCAACCAAATTTGTAAATGTTTTGTTGAATTAGATTATTGTCATGCAATTAATTCTCTGTTTGTTGAATTAGACTATTGTCAGGCAATTCATTCTCTGTTTGGAAATATGTTAAAAACTAGACTATAGAGATCTATGGTGTTCAGGTGTGAATCTGAGTATGTCTTTCAATCAGCAGGACTCAGATCCCCAAGCATGGACTCACCGACTGAGGTCGGTCCCGGACACATACTGGGAGAACCTGGAGTGCAGCAAAGGGATGAGCCGCAGATCACACCACCGCTTCTCCCACCGCAGACCTGGAGAGGTGGGCCAGGAGGAGCACGACAACGAGTCCTGAAAAGAGCACATAGAACATCCAGAAGTCTTTCTTTCTCTTCTGATGACTTAAGTCTTTGTATCAAAAAACAGCCTTCTCCTTCAGGGGGATATTACCATCTCTTACACATTCAAAATGTTTATAGATTCATATGTGTGTGTGTGTGTGTGTGTGTGTGTTGTGGCAAGTACACCCATGCATACACACCTGTGTGCTCGTACTTAGGCTTGAATTTAGAGCCACCTTGTCTTGCTAGGCTTTTATGCTCAAGAGTGGTATGCTATCTTTTATGCCAAACCTCCACTTCCTGGGTTTGGGATTGATTGGTTAAATGAGTAATTAATTTGGTTAATTGGAAATAAAGGTCTCACAGACTTTTCTTCTCTGCGTGGCATGGAATGGCAATCATCACAGCTCGGTCCTCTGAATAGTTAGAATTCCTGGCATGAGCTACCAGCACCCAGCCCATTTAGAGACTCTCAAAGCCTTCATTATCTCATCTTCATATGAAGACATCAGTATAGCTAGCACCAGAATTTCATTTCCTAAGGTTACTGCTAATGGAATTCTCTGAGAAGTGAGGAAGAGTTCATTCAGAAGTTAAGTCTCATGAAAATGCTTGGAAACCATGGGTGGGGAGAGGCAGAAAAAAATTAAAGAAAACAGTTCAAGAATGGGAGAGATGGGGCAAAACAGGGACTGAAGAGAATGTAAGACAAAACTAAAAGCAATCATTTTTCAGTTAGCCAAGCTCTTTCTGGACCTGTTCATTGCTAAGTTTCATTACAAGCGTTTTCATTTATCAGTTACTTGCAAATATTTTTTCCACTACAAAATCACATCCAAAGAAGATTTAAGTCTTTGTTTTAGCTTCATTTTATAAACTTTTTACAATTTCTTATAGTTTTTTTCTGTCAGATCAAGGCAACTACTGTTGGTTTAAAATATATGTATTGCAATTTTTGTTAAGAGGTTTCACTTTTCTTTTTCTTTTTTAACAACAAAAAGCCTTTCTTGTTTCTGTTTTGGGGGTTTGTTTTGCAAAAAATATTATCTTATATGATCATATGCACATATCTATTAAGCCTTTTAAATTTGGTCCTATGAATATCCTTGTATGTCCTATGAATGGTCCTTTATGATAGGGGAAAAATAACTGAGCTTTTACATTTGAGAGTTTATTCCAAATTTGCTGTTGAAATACTTCTTTGGCATCAGCAATGACCATTTACAGATTATGTCTCCGTTCAGTTTGTTTCTATTTACTAATTGTGTGTGCTGGTTGCGGGGGAGGGGAAATACCAGGGCTTGAATTAAGGACCTGAGAACTATCTCATAGCTGTTATGTTCAAGGCTAGCACTCTACCACTTGAGCCACACCTCCAGTTCTCACTTTACTCAGATCTCTTGAGTACCTGGTTATAGTTGTGTGAGCCACTGGTACCTGGCTAGTTCACTAATCCTTTTATTCATTAAGTTTTGAGTAGTGATGTCAGAAGTTTCTATTTTACTCTAGATTTTAAACTCTCTGGTTAAACATTATTAAGCACTATCCTCAAGTGATAATTTCTTTAAATGGATTAGGAAAGGGAACACAGCTTTGCTCAGAATATGCCAAAAGTGCGGGTGGCGAGTGGCAGGGGATCACCTGGTCCTCTCAGCCTTGAGACCTTTGATGAAAGACCATTGCTTTCAATGCTTACCTGGTGATTGCACACACAGATGTCTCTGTTTCTGGACTACAGCTGTCCAGGTATTCCTGTCAGTCTATCTGCTGGCTCATGTCAAAGATCATGGGTGCTTGGCAAGTGACACTGATCAGCTGGGTAACAATCCTTACAAGGTGCTGAAAGCTTAGGTTGTAAGAACCAGATTACCAGGTTTGAAACCAATTTTCCAATTAAGTTTTCCATTAACCAAAGGTCAAGTTACTGAAACTATCTCTTTTGCTTTGCCTATTCTTAAAGTGGTTTTAATAACAGTCATGCTTGGTGAAAATAGTCAGAAAAAATTACTTAAGTGATAACCTAGCACTGAGATTCATGATAATGTTTGCATTTTCAGAAGGCTAAAGGAAATTTGACATTTACAGGTAATAGCCATCTCATCAGAAGCATCATTCCATAGTAGTAAATGAACAGGGTCAGGACATAGGTTTTCAGAAAACTAATCAGGTTGACTAATTGACAAGTCTATTTGGAAACGAATCTTCCAGGAAAAACACCCTCACCAGCTCCAACAGTAGCCTCACAACTGCTACTTAATAATCTTGCCCTAAACTTTTTTCCATGCTTTTTTTTAAGCCTCATGTGATAGCTTTGCAAGACAAAGATATTATTCTGATCATCTTACAGAGAAAACAAAATCAAAACCTACAGGCTGTTTTTTTTTTTTTAGAAAGATTGGTTAGTACAATCTATTTTATCTTATTTGCAAAGATATGGTCTTGGGTTCCCTGGAGAGGGGATGTATAACTATGGTGAATTATGTAGTAAGAAAAGTAAGGGAAAGGTCTAATAAAAACCAAAGTTATAACAATATGAACATAAAGAGAAACTTACATATATTGAAAATATCATTACTTGCCACTATATGGATAATCATACTTTTAGTGTGGAAGAAAATCTTGGAAACATATAAACTTGATTTAATTTAAGATTATGGTGAATATGGTCACATGCCTTCTTAGTAAATGAAAAAGGTAAAAAGTATTTTTAAATGTATTGAAACAATGTAGAAATTGTTTCTAAAAATAGGCTAAAATCTTTGAGGGAATTTTTAATTTTAAAAAAGTAAAATAAATAAACTGCACATTTTTTATTGTGAAAATAGTGTACAGAGGAGTTACAATTACATGGGCAAGATAATGAGTACATTTCTTAAAACTGCACATTTTTAAAGGCCAGTCACAGTTATTTTTGTCTGCAAGAGGTCACATGGGGAGTCAATATACCTATATCTGTGTGGTAACTGTAACCCCTCTGGACAGTATCTTTACACACACATATATATAGATAGATAGATAGATAGATACATACATACATACATACATACATTCCTATGGGAAGCTAGGCTAAAAAATATTGGTTCATATGGCTCATGAGATGCACAAGGTTGTGGGACTTGTATTAGAGTATCAGCTCACAGCATGGCCTGTAGCTCAGCCCAAGGCAGTCTAGTGCTGGCTCTGCCCACCCTCCCAGGACCTTGTGCATATGTGCACTCTACAATGCAGGCCAGCAACTCCTCCAATTCCAGGGCCAACACACCTATCACCATACTTAAGTCTTAATCATATGTAAAATAATAGAAAGTTGAAAAGTTTTTACATCTCAGTTATGTGATACTAGGTAAGTTAAAGATGGTTCCCAATTTTCATGAGATGTAATCATTAATCCCTCACTGTTCATGGTCCATGAAGCTCGTTCAAGGATATAGCACTTTACTAGAAAGTGCAACTCTGAGTTCAAACCCTAATATGGATACGAGAAAAATAAAATAATGTGAATAATGTCCAACTTAAACTAATAGAATAATCAAACCTGACATATTACATTGTAGAAGAGTTCTTTTCAGTGGAATGCCTAGTATCATTTAAAATTATTGTTATTACAAAAAGGGATTACAAATTTACTTTGCAGTCTTTTCTTTGTTACAGCAATCAGAACTAGTCAGCACAGTATACAAAAATGACCTAGAAGTACATTTTATGATCATGAGAACCATAACTATTTTTAAACAAATTTATGCTGTAATGCCAAGAACATTGTTTTTTTTTAAATATCAGTAATGTGAATGGTAAAAAAAAACAGCATGTTCTTGGTCCTTACTTTAAAGCAGACTCTGTCTCAAAATGAACATATGCCCTACAATAACTACCAATAACATCTTAACAAAACAGAAGAGTATGCAGTGACAAATACTGACTTGGAATATGAGTGATTAAGGACTTGGAATATGAATAATTTGACATAGGAAGCAGTCATTAGAGCTTATAATCACAAAAATGTTTCTCAGTTTCCTGGAAATATGACCTGAATCAGTCTCTTCATGAGCACAGAACAAATGGCTGTATTCATCTCCAGAGAGAAGAAACTCACTGGACCTGGGCTGGGCTCAGAAGGCTGTGTCTTAATTTAAAAACTAGTAGAACTCTCTTATATGCACTCAAATTGGAAAACCTAGAATTGATAGATTATATTTTAATATACACTTTTGAACCTATTTTAATATAAGACTTTTTTGTCCTGATATTTAGGATCTGTGCTTCCATAAAATGTGAAGAGAATGCTTCAGAAAATCAATTATATAGTCACCCTAAATTTTCTTAAAGATTATTTAAGGCATAGGCATTAAAATGTGCATGGTTGTAGGAATTAGTTAATAGTAAAATCTAAATTTGAATCCAATCTGGGTATTAGCAAGATTCTATATATCAAACTAGCAACCTGAATCCAGTGGCATGTGACTAACATATTGGCAAGAACATATGAGAATTGCAGCTTGAGGTTCGCCTCCAGGAGCAAATGTGAGATCATATCTGAAAAGTAAGTAAGGAAAAAAAAACCCAAAAAACAAAAGATGATGGCTTGAGTTCAAACCTTAGTACACCTAAAAATAAAATTAAACTGGAGTTTCATATAACTCTGTGCTTTTATGTAGTAGTTTAAAAATGAATTTATTTTACTGTATTAACTGAAATATGAAAGATTTAGGGAGTAATCAAATAGTTTAATTCTGTAAAGAGACAAAGTCAAAGTTCAACAAAATAAACATTTGAAAGGTTGGGGTTGGATTAAGGGAAATGGGGTAGATGAAGGAAGGGAACAAGAGAGGACATATGCCATCAAGAATTCAATGTATATCCTACAAAATTAATAAGACTGATGGAAGGGTATAGGGAAGAGATGGGTGAGGCTGTTGACCAAGATACGTTTCTATTCATAAACTGCTTTGTTAAATGATGGCTGCTTTGTACAACTACTTAAAGACAAACCTTAAAAAGACCAAGCAAAACAAACTTACAAATATAAAAAATATAAAACAATTAAAACAATTGAAGGGACAATGAAGTTCAAAGATGTAGGACAGAAGTGAGGATTTGAGAGCTTTATAGATGCCAATATTCCCTTATGTCCACAATGTTCAGAGGCCCTGTGGGAACTGTGCTTCTCAGCACCTTCCTGCTGAAGACCCACTGAAGGAGATGCTCTGCCTCTGCTCTGCTGTTCTGAAACTCTCCATGGCATGAGACAGAAGCCAGAGGAACACAACCATAACTGTGGTCAAGACTGACTGTAGTTCATCTGCCCTCAGGAGTAAATGTGATAAAAGCACATTATGTGCATGTGTAGAAAATCTCATTGAAATCCCTTCTACATTTAAAATGTGTGAACAAGAGTGTATGAACTTTGTAGTTTCTAAACCCAGATTCCAACTAAGTGTGATGTTCAAAGTTGCCAGCCTTGTCTGCTATAACAATGTTCATCACCATTGATTTTGTCAGATTATGTGAAAGTTGATATTGTGGATTTGTCTACAGATTTGGAATCATAATTGACTGCTCCCCAAAATACCTAGTACAATGTTTCTACACTGTACATTATCAGCAAAAATTAACTTTATTGGTATGCAGTGATGATGTTTTCTTATTTTTGAACATGCTTTATTTCAATTTAACTGTATCTTCACTCTAAAATACAAGGACCTTTAATTGACATACAGTAAAAATATTCCAGCAATATCCAAATAAGTGCAATGTTAGCACAAAATGAGAACACAGTGTGCCTGTTTGAAATGGAAAGACAGTGTGCAAAACCAAAACACAACAAAGCTACATCTACTTTGAATTTAATGCAACTGGATTGATTTGAAACAATTATGCTGTAGAATTACTGAATGTTTTTCTTGCTCTAATTTTAGCTAATGGGTGTCATTAGTCCATATTATCTTTGTTGGAATGAATTAAAAACAAATAAGAATGGCTTCGTTCCTTAGATATTTTTATGTCTTCTCTATGTCTCATTACTAAGAATGTCAAGGATATTTAGCAAGAATCTAAACTTCACCATCATGTGTACTCTCACTGTGAAGTAACGTAACTTTATAATATATTCCTTTTGTGTGTGTGAGTGCAGCTGAGATGGAGAGACTCATTTTTGTGACTAGCACTTAGTGAGAAAATTCTCAGAGGAAGCCAGTGAAGACTGAGGGAAGGAGAGGGTGAAGTGGTCCATATTCTGGCGGAAATCAGTCCTCTGCCTTCTCTGTTGATGCCTTGCAGGGTTCCTGTCTATTTCATCAAACCATGCAGACACACACCAAGTTTTCAGTGTAGTTGGGGAGACTGGCTCCCAAATGTAGGGGCCTCTTACAGAAAAGACAAAGCTGGCATCAGCCTGGGCCAACAAACCATCGTGGTAAATGATATGGAAAGGTGTTAGAAGTATCAAGGGCATTAGATAGATTGGAAGAGAAGAAAACCACAAAACAAATTTATTAATAAAGAGGTTTAAAATGGGGATGGGAGACTCTGTCAGTATAGAGGCCTTGACTAGTATATTGAGGCCCTGAGTTCCAGCTTAGTTCTTAAGAGTCCTGAAAAGAAAACTGCTAAGAGGAATGTAAGATAACTACAGACCTGAGAATGATGGTGACAAGACAAAAAAAATCACATTATTTTCTCATCAAAAGCCCAATGTTTTAAACCACTTGTATCTTATCATCCCCAGAAGATTCCTGCTGAAAATATTATCTATTATAAGGAAATTGTTTCTCTGGCAAATAAAATGAAATAGAAGAGTTCAATAAGTCTATCTAAATGTGGTTGAATTTATGTTCTATCCTTCCATTTGTAGCAGTGACCTTTGGCCTTTATCATGAAAGAAAGGAAAAGTAGGAGACTGGGGGCCTGAAGTATTTAGCTAAGCAGAATGCCTGTGTGTTAGGTACAGTGGACACCCCTTGGGCTTGAACATATTAAAAAGAATCCTTCCAAATAAAATGCCTCAATCCTTCTCAAATGAAATCCTCAAATAGAGGATGAAGCACATGAATCACAAACAGAAGCTGAAGGCTTTATTTCAGTATGTCTAACAGGCAAACAAAATCCTACTGAAGACCAGCCATGTTACAGTTTTTATTTATGATCACAGGGGATAATTGTTAGGTTTACTGATAACCAGGGAGAATTTTTTTCCTGAGAATGCATATTTGGAAAGCTGAAACATGATGTTTCAAAACTAGTCATAACAGAACTATAAAAATAATCTCTGATAGTAGAAAATGTACTCATTACCTTAATCATGTAAATGTAACCCCTCTGTACAGTATTTTTACAATAATATATATATATATATAAACTAGTTATAAAATAGAAAACTGTAAACTAAAAATAATTATTGAAACTATTATCTATAAAATGAACATGTTAATTCCACATTTTACTAAATGTATGGATAGTTTGACATTCCCATTACATCTCAGTATAAGGTGTATATTAGCTTTCTTATTTTGCAGTAAGTCTTTGGTATTAGCATGGAGATTGGTGACAAATTGAAGCAAATGATAAGGATTGTTAGCCAAATAATTTCAAAAGAAAAAACTGATGATAAAATGACATCAAATCATGTAGAGCATGAAATTACATATAAGATGTAATGTCCTAAAACGATTGTATGATATTATTTGTGAACTCCCTGAATTAAAAAATCTCCATAGCTTACCAAAAACTTAATTCATACAAACCCAATAGCAGAAAACAGCATAAAAATAATAACGGGCGTTTTAGTGATCTTTCTTGGTTTTTTAGGTTGCTTAGCTGATGAAGCAATAAGGATCTTGTATTTATGGGAATCAGATTCAACAGCAGACTACAAAGATGGATGTTTTCTCCTGGGCTTTCCTTATGCTATATCTTTATTAGTCTGAACTAGATTGGCTTCTTACTGTATTGTTGGGATGGTAATTGAGGTGCAAGCCACTGTCACATAGAGGAGAAGAGGTGCCACTGCTCTGGTCACTTGGAGCACCTGCAGGAAACAAAATCACAACATTCCAGCAGTCAGAACTCCACGTCCTTCTAGACTGGCACAGTCTACATTAAAATTGTAAGAATTCCCAATATTCACAAGTAAATTGCATGCTAACATAAACTCCCATTTCACTTATACAAAAGGCTGTGTTTTGCAAGTAAGCTAAATGATTACAGGTATTTGGACACTGAACGTGACTCACGAATATTTATGTTTTATTTTGGATCATTATAGCTTTAGAAAATATTTGGCCATATAAGATGCATTATTTTGTTTCATTATCCAACGTGATCTGCACCAGACCTGTAATTGTGCAAGATGTTACTCATCTACAAAGTTCCTCTTTGTGTCAGGTTTCTGGCTCTCTGCAAATTCTATATTTAGAAATCATAGCTATCCATGTTATAAATCCTTTTATGGGCTCCGGCTTCCTAAGTACTCTTGGTATATATTCAAATGCCCTCTCCAAAACTATCTCATTTTGTGAAATTGCAGTAACAAAACTTTGTATTAAATTCACATGAGAAGCCTAGTAGTATCTATTTTTTAAAGATGAGTAATTTGTGTCTTAGACACCTGTAATTTTCTAAAATGTCACATTTAGTACCTAGTAGAGTCTGGATTACAATGCATATTTCGTGACTACTGATTCCTTGCTTTACAAAGGATATTATTTTAGAGTTGGCAATGTTGGAAAATGTAATCTATTAATATATCTAAATCCTACTTTTTTTGTCAATCATGGGGCTTGAACTCAAGGACTGAACTCTTTCTATGAGCCTTTTTGCTCAAGGCTAGTGCTCTACCACTTTTTTTTTTTTGATCAGTCATGGGCCTGAACTCTGGGCCTGGGCTCTTCAGCTCAAGGTTAACGTTCTACCACTTGAGCCACAGCATCACTCCCAGCTTTTTCTGCTTATGTGGTGCTGAGGAATTGAACCCAAGGCAAGCTCTCTACCACTGAGCCACCTTCCCAGCTCATGCTCTATCACTTTGAGCCACAGAGCCAATTCTAATTTTCTGGGGGTTATTGGAAATAAGAGTCTCATAGACTTTCCTTCCCAATTGAATATGAACCATAATCCTTAGATTTCAGGCTGTTGAGTAGCTGGGATCACAGGTGTAAGCCACTGCCACCCACCTCCTACTTACATTTTTTTAAATTTCAAACATTACATATCATACCTAACATAGTATATTGATCAATAGAATGAAAGACTTTGTTTTCCTCTTTTATTATTATAAAATTCTCTAATTTTCCTACTTCTAAAACGAAAGCCAGAGGTTTTCTTTGGAATACTAACCTGGACTACATTTTTCTGCTCTTTAAAACTAAAGAATTTTACATTTTTATTTTTATTTTAGCTATCTCTTGTAAAGTTTACTTACATTTTTCTTGTTCAAGTTATTACTTTAATACAACATACGTAATCCTATGAGTTCACCCTAAGCTATCATCAAGTGAATATTATGTAAATTTATAGACTAAATGAGTATAGGTGTACGGTCACTGAATTCCACTCATATTTAGAGAAAATCAAGTTGGTAGAGCAAATTAAACCAAAGTAAATTTTAAAAAACAGATAAAGATAAAAATGGGAATATAACTGGGAAGACATTAAATAAAAATGACAAGTAATAAAAGAAACTAATCAAGTCAAAGATGAGTTCTTCAGAAAGTAAGAAAGCACAGATTATCAATGGAGAAATGAAAACAGGGTCATTAGTAAAGTTAGCAAATGCTAAAGGCAATAATGAAAATATAGGGGGAATCTCACAAAAATTAATTAATGGCATAGTTAAAAAAACTAAAGATCATAGCCAAGAATTTTAAAGATAATAACAGATTCATTCTAAAAATTAAATAACATAAAAGAAATGTAACTCTAGACTCAGACTATTACTGTAAGGTTTTTATTCAATAATTAAGTAGGAGATAATATCCTGATTAAAAAGATTGTTCCTGGAAATAAAGGAACTACCATTCCACAATTATGTGAAGACATAATAAATCTGATGCGGCAGCCTCATAAAACGTTATAAGAAAAATAGAAAAGTACAAATAAAGGTGTTTCATGACACAAACCTGAAGAATATATATGTGAATATATATATATAAGAATATATAAGATGATATATTTTCAAACTGAGTGTTAAAAAAATCACCTCATGAAGAAGTGAATGCAAGCTTGGTTTTACATTCAAAATCATTTAAAAAAATTGATGACATCTGCCAGTTGTCAGTGGCTCACACCTATAATCTGAGCTACTCAGGTTGCTGATATCTGAGGACTGCAATTCAACATTTGTGCAATTTGAAGCCAAAGCAGGCAGGAAAGTCCATGAGTCTCATCTCCATTTAAGCACCAAAAAGCTGGAAATGGAGTTGTGGCTCTAGCCTTGAGCAAAGGAGCTAAGGGACAGCACCCAGGCCCTGAGTTTAAGCACTACCCTCCACACTGGCACGCACGCACACACACACACACACACACACACACACACACACACGATTGACCAAATCCACAAAGAATAAAGTATCAGTAAATCTACAAAAAATAATGGAGATAATTCCGCATCAATTGATATCTTTAAAACTTACTTCAGTATACTAAAATAGAATATATGTCCTCACCTTGATAACAGGTTTCTGTAAATACATACAGCTAATATTATAATTAATGTTAAAACATGCCTGGATATTTCTTTCTTAATGAAAAAAATAATGTCTTTTCTGAATGATTTTCTGAAGGTCTTAGCCATTGCAATTAACAAGAAAACGAATGAAAATGATGTAGATTGGAAAGGATAAAGAAAAGTTCAGTGTTTATAGATGATGACATAATTGTATGTGCAGAAAAATATTTTTAATAAATTTTATTTTATTGTAAAGATGCTGTACAGAGGGGTTACAGTTACATGAGTAAGGTAATGAGTACACTTCTTATGGAACATTATTACCTACTTTTTGTTTTTCTCCCACTATCCTTTCCCTATGCCTTTTCCCCCACCTCCCCAGAAGTTGTAAAGTTCATTTCTGAAAAAGTGTCTTCTGAGTATCATTGTTGCAAGGAGACATTCTTTGTCCTTGTTTCAGCATTTTGTTATTCCCCTTCCCTTCTCCAGATCAGACAAATGTATACACAAGACTCAGGGTATCAGAATCAAAGACAGTTATTGCCAGGGATAAACCAATGCAAAAATAAAAATAAAATAAAATAAAATAAGAAGAAAGAACTAGGTACTGTACATTGGTAACAACAAGGTTAAGAACCAAACCAAAAAAAAAAGACTTGCTGTTTCCATATCTTGGATTTTATTTCAATAAGCAGAATTTTGTATGGTCATATGTGCATAGCTATTGAACTATTATGATTCTCTGCCAGGATTATCCAAGGCATATATGAATTATTGCAAATGAGGGAAACCATAGCCTATGTTCCTTTGAGTCTGGCTAACGTCACTTAATATGATTTTTTCCAAGCCTTTCCATTTCCTTACGAAAGGGGCGATGCCATTCTTTCTGATAGAAGCATAAAATTCCATTGTGTGTGTGTGTGTGTGTATATATATATATATATATGGTAAATATATATAATATAATTATATTATATATAATATATATAATATAAATATATGGTAAATAATACTGAAATGAACATAAGTTGTGCTGGTAGCTTTAGTGTGGCCTTGCTTGTGATCATTTGGATAAGTGCCTAGGAGTGGGAATGCTCCATGATAGGGGAGTTCTATGTTTAGTCTTTTGAGGAATCTCAATACTGATTTCCAGAGTGGTTGAACCAGCTTACATTCCCACCAACAGTGTAGTAGCATTCCCTTTTGGCCACATTCCCTCCAGCATCTGTTATTATTTGTTTTCTTGATAATGGCCCTTCTAAATGGGGTAAGGTGGAATCTCAATGTGGTTTTGATTTACATTTCTTTTATGGCCAAAGATTTTGACCATTTCTTCATGTGTCTATTGGCCATTCTTATTTCCTCTCCAGAGAAGTCTCTTTTTCATTCATTTTTGTTGTTGTTGGTGGTGGTCGTGGAGCTTGAACTCTGGTTCTGGGCTCTCTCCTGCAACTCTTCAGCTCAATACTAGTGCTCTACAACTTGAGCCACAGTGCCACTTCCAGCTTTTACTGTTTTTGTGGTGCTGAGGAATTGAACCCAGGGCCTCACGCATGTGAGTTTTTTTTAATTTGTTACACTACTTATTAATGGGTGGTTGTTTCTTTGGGGATTTATTATTGGTGGGTTTAATTTTTTGAGCTGCTGATCCAAAACTTTGGCAATGTAGCAGGGTATAAAACTAACCCACAAAAATCAGTTGCTTTTCTGTATGCCAACAATAAGAAGAGTTAGGCTGAAAATTTTTAAAAAGCAACTCTTTGTAATAGCCTCTAAAAATCAAAATACCTAGGAATAAACTTAGCCAAAGAAGTCAAGGACTTCTATGATGAAAACTTTAAAAAATGTAAAAACTTTTAAAAAGGAAGTTAAAGCGGATTTAAAGAAATAGGAAAAAAAAAAACCTCCCATGGTCCGGTATTGGGAGAATTAACATCATGAATATGGCAATACTACCAAAGGCTATCTACAAATTCAATGCAATATCCTAACAACATTTTTTTGTCAGTCTTGGGGCCTGAACTCTGAGCCTGGGTGGTGTCCCTGTGCTTTTCAGCTGAAGGTGAGTGCTCTTCCACATGAACCACAGCACCACTTCCAGTTTTCCAGTAGTTTATTGGAGATAAGAGTCTAATAGACTTTCTTGCCCGGGCTGGCTTTGAACTATGATCCTCAGATCTCAGCTTCCTGAATAGCTAGGATTACAGGCATGAGCCACTGGCACCTGGCCCCAACAATATTCTTTAATGAAATAGAAGAAGCAATCCAAAAATTCATATGGAACAATAGAAGACCCTGAATAGCAAAAACAATTCTTAACAGGAGGAACATTAATACCAAACTTCAAGCACTTTATAAAGCTG